GAACATCTGTTCTGTTACAGGTTTAAACCAGTTTCTGATCACTTAAACCAGTTTGTGTATAATGTCTGTCCCTAGCCAATGAAAACAAGATCAGGATCCCGCTGTAACGTCAAGTCTTCTGGGTATCTCTATTTTCTCCTTCCCATCGCCTATGATACATACTGACAAATGAAGCATGCAGCGAGGAAAGCCTTTCTCTGAACATCCTAAAGATTGGTAGGGACCAAATGGTCAGCTGGTGTAAATTTGCCTGGCTACAGACAAGATGATGGTTTTACACCATTTTACACCAGCTGGAGGAGCTGGCACTTTTCATTCTCCATTCTTTGTGAGGGGGCTTCATTATTATTATTTATGACCCACATTCTGGTAGAACCTTTAATCTTAAACATGAAGAGTAAACATATATAACGTATATTCATTAAATATGATATGAAAGAGAGGTCCACCTCTTTCTCCTCCCTAAAAATGGGCAAACAGCAGCTGGCAAATATTTTTGCAACAAAAAGCACCAATTTTGGCTCCTATTTATTCCCAGCTAATTGTTGTTTTAGGATGACCATAAAAAAGTAAAACATTAGTAAATACAGAAGGTGGTTTTCCTGACTTCTGTTGGCTTCGTAGGTCATGTTATTCATTATTTTCCCATTATAAAAAGTTTCAGTCCTCCAACTGGACAGCAGGCACGACACTTGGACATCACCTATATCAAATAGCATGTAGCCAAAGCAAACACCTGGTAAATAATTTATCGCTGGCTCTGAAATTTGTTTGACTAAACTATTTTGTGAACACTTGGGAAGAGTAATTATATCCATATGACTACACATGGAAAAAGAAACTGTATTTTGTAACAAATATCCCTAGCAGTGAACAACACAGCCAGCTTTATTTCTCTGCAGAACCAGCTTTCCCTCTCTGCCCTGTTACATTAGGACTCAGTCCAGCTGTGACGGAAGCCAAGAGGAAGCTCACCTTTGTTTGCAGTGGGCTCCATAGACTTTCCACTGATAAAAAAAAATAAAGTTTCAATGACATGATGACCCTACAGCTGAACCCAAAATCTCCAAACCTTGGCCAGCATAATTCACTATTACTGAAGCATATTTTGTCACTGGTGGGAGTATTCTGCATACAAATGCTGAAGTGTCTGTAATGGTTTCATCAACAGACCTGGATCTCAATGCACAAAACTGTGGCTGTAAATTGCTGTGCTCAGGCAGAACAGACCTCATTAGAAATGCAGTCTTAAATAGCCCATGAGCTTTTCTTGCAGGTAAACCTAACAGGAAATACATCTGCTTTACCACATCCCCACTGAGAATGCCCACCTATACCATGTGTTTGTAGCTCTCCTCAAAGTATTTCTACTTGTCCTCAGCTCCTTTAAACTTTCCATGTAAACCAAATTGCATTTCTTTCTCTCTAGACACACTCGAGACTGACAAAGCCGCAGCACTGGAGAAGCACGTTGTTATAGTTACTGGCATATGACTTATCACTGCAATTGTCGGAGCACTTTCAGAAAACAACAGTTAAGCTGCAAAACAGCAATTTAACAAAGGCCCGAAGAGTAATGGCTACCCAGCATCATTTAATAATGGGGTATGAAGTACTTTATTGCCAACCCTTGTCACCTGCTAGAACCTGTCTCTGCTAGGTAGGGATGATGCTCACAGGAGCCAGAAAACCCTCATAGCTCCTCCCTTATTTTTGCCTGCTACCCGGAAATTCTCCTACACCAGACTTGGTCTAGTTGAGTGGGGTTAAGGCAGAGCTCTCCCCCTGAGATTTCTGGTGCGTAAGAACATACAAGGTTTGTTTTTCCACCCTCGGTGATCATATTTGCAGCTGACACTTTAGCAAACCATGCAAAGACTTGGGGCCAGGCACTTTTGCCTGAGTAACCACATAAGGACCAGCTGTAATCCAGACCACGTATTTTCAGACAGGGTGACCTGACCATATTCAGATGGGTTCAGATAAGTCAAGATGATGAATCAGTAAGAACTGTTATGCTGAAGGGTGCTAGTGGTCTTCCATCACAGGACCTTGTTGCAAAGGCAACTGCAAGCCTTGAATGTTTGCAGGTGGAAAAAGCACTCTCCTTTGTGCATGATAGCGGGGACAGCTGGACTCTCGAGAGAGACCCCGAACTTGGTGACAAGAGAGTAGGGAACTAGCCGGGTTTCTGACATTCCAAGACTGTATTAAACGGTTTAGTGACCAGGCAGAGGACTCCCCCAAGAGCCCAGCAGTGAAGCAAAGGCAAACAGACAGTCCCTAAATAAGGACAAGGCTGGCGTGTTGGACCTGGGGGTGTCTGGAGAAGGGATCTTCCTATACCTGATGTGTCCCTGCCATTGATCTGAGAAACACCCTTGTGTGCCTTGTGCAAATAAACCAATTTATGGTAGGGAAATGCCCTGGTTCCACACCATGGATTTCTCATCGAAATAGAAACCACTGCCAAACAACCATTCTGCCCAAAACAGGGGAAATGGTTTCTTTTGTGTGATTTTAATGAACACTGTGAAGACAGTAACCCACTAGGACTAGGCAGTGGGCACACATGGGTATACACTTGCTGTCTTGCAAGGCATTTTCAGCTGCTCCTCAGTGTTAAAGGGTTTCTGGGGTAGTTCTGTGAAAAAAATTTGATGGGGAGGAGCCCTGAAAGATAATTAAGGGACCTGCATTGGTGCTGCTCTGAATTATCATAAGGGATCTGAATTCCGACAGAGGCATTAGCTTTGAGGCTTGATGTGTTAAGCCGTGTGTCCTAACTATGCTTAACTAGGCATTTCTTTTCCCTGAGTATGATAACAGTGTACATGAAGTGAATACCAATTGTTAGCATCATTTGGCTAATTGCTGAGACTGAAGAACCGAGGGCAACCAGTCCTGCAGGTATACTCCCACTGAAGCCTACAGAAGGAGCTGAAGCAAAACCACAGTGTTGAAGCTCCAGGACTGTTTTTTTTCTTCTGATCTGGTGACTTGCTTGCTTGAGCTTATATGCAAAATTAGAACCAGGGGGATTTTCTATCTGGGGACTTTTATTGGGAACACTGTACAATTCTGTCCACGTTTTACATGAAGTTGAGTTTGTTTTTTTCAGACATTTGTCATGCCCGCTGCTATTAACAGAAAAGTCTGGCCTTCCTTCACATAAATATAGCTGTAGATATAAAGAGGGTAAGTATGGGTTTATGCCCATGAAAAAAATAAATGGGTCCACTGTGAAACACAGTACTAAGACAAAGAAGTTGGGCCCATTTCTCAACCCCTCTAAAACTGCCTGGCACTACTGATTTCAGCTCTGTCAGCTGAAACTAGCAAGGGCTGTGATGTATGAATGAAAAACTCTGCAGTCTAAAAGACTAGTTTGGAATCCACATAGAATCATAAATGATTCAAATGAACTTGTACTTAACCTCACATAAACACTAGTAGTCCTTATTATACTAAAGGATATTTTCAGTACAGTTTTAGTCTAGCTTTAGCCCTTCCCTGTTTAGGGCATCTCCAGACAGAATATCCAGTCTTTCTAGAACAGTGAGAAAAGACTATTGTTCATTTCCCAGTGCATGGTCCATATTTTGCCACAAATGTTGGGTACAGAAAGAGAGTATTTCTATTTAACTCTATCAGGAAATGTTATTGATCTATTTTATCTATCTAATGCATTAGTAACATCCTTCTATTTAATGTCTCCAGGATTTCAATAATGCTGCCGTAGCAGGTTGAATTGTTAGTGTTTCTGCATTGTAATTTGGACATTCTTTGAAGTTGGTTGTGATGATTTGAAGTATTTTGTAATTGCATTTGACTATCTACAATTATTATTGAAAAGATGCACATTAAGGGCCAGTCTGTTTAATAAGAGAGATCCTCTCAATGATTAAATCATCATATTACTCCTTCAATTCTTTTATGCAATAGAATGTGTTTCAGTAGGTTTCAGAAAAGGAAAAAAAAAACATTGGGTAGTGAAAGCAGATTTTTTTTTTCTAGCCTTCTGCTCTAAACAAAGGATACGGAAAAAAAACTATAGAGAGTCTAACACTATGTTTAAGCTATTGAATTTATTAGCTACACTATTTGTAAATGAAGAGAGAGAACAAGTATTGAACGATACAGTGGAATTGATAGCACTTGTGTCAAAGATCCAGACCCTGATCTTGCAAAAACTTAGGCACATTAAAAAACTTTGAGTTCAAACATGTGACAAAAGACTTTGCACCGTGACTCACATGTGTAACCATTGGTGGGTATTGTCAAAGGGCCCCCTCTCTGCCAGTCTACAGAAGGCATGGGTTCTTATCCCTATGCCAGTTGTAGGTGCTTGTTTTCATTCTGGCAGTCTCTTCAATTCGGTCCTGGTGTGGCAGCCAAGATGATGGCATAAGTGCTAACTTAAATTGGACTGCTCATTTGCTTAAAGTTAAGAAAATCCAGGACTGAGGTTTCATTTGGAAAAGCAATTGCAGTTTGCAGTAGCAATATAACAATATATAGCAATAGCTTATGCTTATACATGTGAATTAAGATTTCAAAAGACACTAAATTACTAAACTGCAAAGTATATTTCTATAATTCAGTTTGCTCAAGTAGGAAAGATGAGACATGAAAAAGAGTACTTTATGAAACTGAAACTGCTCATGGAATAGAAGTTACAATTACTTAGGCTGGAAACTGTCCAGCAGATCAGCACTGATGTGTCTTATGAAATGCTTTGGACTTTTTCATGAGGACCTTTGTTTTACATTTCCCACATATGCTATCACCTCCAACAGCAAAGTAACTCTTCCCCTTCCCAAACCTCTTCTGGGGTACTGGCTCACAAAAAGAAATGCACTGAAGCAACAACCTGGGATTTTCTGTAGAAACGTCACTCAAGAAAACCTGTGCCCGGATTAGACCCACAAGAGCTTGCAATCAAACCGGGATCTAACCCAGCTGGTAGCAAACAGAATCTTGCTGGATATTGGACTAACCTGTTTTTCACCACTTGGTTTTCTGTAATTCAGAAGCAGCTCCACAGCCCCCACCACCTCCTTCCGTATTGCGTACAGCAGGGCATCCCCAACGTACACGCTGTGGCTCAACAGCAACTCCATGATCTCCAGGTTTTCATTCTCTATGGCTATTAAAAGGGCACTGCGTCCAAGAGGATCCATACAGTTGATGTTGATGTTGTAATAGATTTCAGCCTCTTGGAGGGCATGTTTCACGCTGGCATAGTCCCCCTTCTCTACAGCACTGAGGTAGGCCTTCTCTTCCACGGAGAGCTCTGCCTCTGCCCGCACAATCTGCAGTGGGATCCGATCTCGGTAGGGCGAATAGTTTACTTTTTTGTAGTATAGCTGGGCCATTGTTCATAGTGACTGTGCAGCCTGTTAGAAGGGAAGAAGACAGACACTTAGTGCTGGCAATAACAGCAATTACTTGATTCCATTCCAGTGCCGCTAAAATTGCTGAAAATCCTTAGCAGGGAAGCTGATTTCCTGTACAATAAGTTTCATGCTCCCCAATGGTCAGCATATTAGGGGCTACGTGGAAGAATAGAGGTTACAGTCTCATATTCAGCCAGACAATGCATAGAATAACACTGGTTGTACCCCACGCCAGTGCTCTTCTCTTCATCCGATCACCAGCCCTGGCTGCTGTTAATGGACGATCCATCAAATGTGTGAATAAATAGATTTCTCACCTCTGCTCTGTTTTCAGTCAGTGTTTTTCCTATCCCTTTATAATAGCTGGGCCAGACCTTCAGCTACTATAAGCAACTCTGCTCCATTGAAGCAAAGGAGCTATGTCAGCTTCCACCATTCTGTCATATTTAATGATATTTCTTGCATTATTCTTGTTCCCACCCCCTCCCCCTTCCTTTGAAGTAGGGCTTATGTTTTCTTTCATATTTATTTTTTGACCTGGTCATGGTTTTATTGTAAAAACTTAGCGCTATTTTAATTTTTAAATGCTTCACTCTCCCTGTTTTATAAATAGGTCCCGAAGATAGGCCATGTGGAACACATCACTCCAGCTCTCCAGAGCTCACTGTGCTGCTGCAGCCTAGAGAAATCCTTCCCTTGAATGAGCACGGCATATCAAACTTTAGGTCTGCCCCCTTGCTGGAAGAGTCTGATGAGGAGTTAAGATCATACCACCGGGCATGGTGGCCCACAGGATGAAGGGTGCTACTGTGGGGGTAGAAGGGTTTTAAAATATTTAGTGGTGGGTGTTCCTACCACTTCAGAGCCAGTGAGGCTCACTGGGTCAGTACCATGGGGTCTTTTCAGTCAAAATACCTGTTAGATCATTTTCTCCAGCTATTTGCCCAAACCAAATTGCAGCATATTACCTAGGGCAGGGGTGGGCAAAATGCGGCCCGGGGGCTGGATGCAGCCCACCAGGCCATTCTATCCGGCCCGCGGGACCCCTAAAAATGTAGAAAATTAATATTTATCTGCCCCTGGCTGCCTGTCATGTGGCCCTCGATGGTTTGCCAAAACTCAGT